AGGAAAAGGTTGTAGCACTTCAAAGGGTCAGGAGTACAAGTTGTAGAGTTATGGCTATGTTACTTGATTTTGAAGAAAAGTGAAAACATGGTTTCAATGCATAGTACAAGCATGGCCTGAGTTTATGGGAGGCTCTATACATGTTGCTTTTGCCTTTGACATTTCTTGTGATCAGAAGTAACAAGTTCAAAGCTCTATGCATTGACTTTGTGATTAAAGCTTCTTTACAAGAATGGAATGGTTACTTTGTGCCATAAATGGAAATGTAACTTGGATACAGGCTCAAGTGCCTGGATTAAAGTTCTAACAGTTGTGTAAACATTTAATTATGGAGTGACAAACAAGTTTTAGGCTTTCAAAGCAAATATTATGCATCCTAGGCTTGGATTTGAATTCTTGTTCATCATGAAATGACTTGTAATTCAAGTTTGAAAACCCTAACTTCTGGCCTTCGATTCTCCTTGCTCATAAATTATCTCAAGGAGTTATTGGACATTTTAGAAAGCTTTTAATGTGCTATACAACCCTTCTTTGAATCAATTTTTCAAAATCCAAATGGAACTATGTGAAACTTGGCTCAGAAGTTAGGTCAAAATCCTGACCAAAATGCTCAAAATTTCACTAAGTGTTTTAGTTTCATGACCATGATTTCATGGATTAATAACTTGAGATCCAAGTAGTTTTAGGAAGAGTTGTGTAAAGAAATGTTTTATATCTTATTTAGATCTACAACTTTCATGTTGAAAGTTTCTTTTGAATCATCTTGCATCATGGTGAAAAATTGGCTCAAAGTTGTGAAAAAATATGAAGTTTTCAACACTTAGAAAATTTCTAAGTTTGGAAACTTTGACTTTTCAAAATGAAATCTTGACTTTTTGATTTATTGATGAACAAGTTTCATATTTTGACATGTTTTGATGAATTGTGATCTTTGACACTTGATTTTGACCAAAAAGTCAAAGTTTGACTTTTCAGTGTGCAGTTGACTTTTGATCAGTTGACTGAAAATCAACTATCAATCAAATGACCTTGAGCAATGTTTTGAGTCATGCCATTAGGTAAAAATGATGCAATTTAATCCTTGAGATCATGTTTCTAACCAATCAACCATTTGCTAGGTCAAACATCAAAAATTTCCCTTTCTCAATCAAAACCATAATTTTGACCATTTTGCCCTTTTGATGATCTGATCAAATTTCTTGAGGAATTGTGGTCTAAACTTGATCAAATGACATATAGGAGTCACAATGTTGATATGGATAAAAAAATTATGAATTTTGACTGTAAATTGACCACATTTGACTTTTCCCGCCAATATAGTTGATTTTTAGGTCAACTGATCAATTGACTGAGCAAAAATGTGATCTAAGACTTGAAACTTGACATGAGTAATTTTTAAGGTCCATAATGATCCATGAAAGTAATATGAGGCATTAAAAGTTTAATTATCCTTGTGCAATCTCAAACCCTAATTTCAACCATCAGTGCTTAAGGAGATGTCTTGAGCTGATCAACCCTTGTGGAGTCTTGAACCAAATGAGATCTTGTGAGAAAATACTTAATAAATGAGAGAGAAAATTTTGGGGTACAACAATAATCAATTTCACATACAATCAAATACAGGAAAAAGCATGTATTTCTAAATGGATTCAAACTGCACCAGATTATAACCCTGTAAAGAAATCTCCCAGAAGGAAAAAATCTCAGGTACCAGAAATAACAGACGTACCTGCAGAATATAGAGGGAAATTATATATATGAAGAAAATACGTGAAAAAAATGAAACACTTCCCAAGATTTATCGGTAAATTAGTGTACATATTGTATCAATGTTCAGTAGCCCTGACGAAGGTGGTTTTCAGAGTTTGTACATAGCCACTCCCTTCTGTAAGATTCGTGCACATTCAACCTCATATGGGATCATCAACTTCATCGGCAATGCTATCACACCGCTATCACACCTGCTGATTAAGAACAAACACAAAAGTCTTAATTTACTCAAAGATAAAAGGCAAGAATGGACGATGGTTATGTATGCTGAAGGCTTCTCACCTAAACAACAACCTTTTCACCACAACTCGAGGTTCTCTCAATAAATGTTAAACAACCTGAAGTGCAGTTCTTACAGTAATAGCACTCTGTTGTAATTGGTACTGGATGAGAGCTTGAAAGCCTACAAAGTTGGCAAACATATGATAGAATAATTAGTAAAACACATAACTTATTGGTGTTAAATTAAAATTTTATGAAACTTCACATAAATTTATTGACGTACATAATTATTGTCCAACAGTTGGATCAATAATATCATTTCTTTCTAAGTTATTAATGGTGTTAGTGTCGAAGTATTAATGGAGTGGAGGTGTGTGCGCGCGTGCATGAGTGTCTACTTGAATTAGACAAAAATATTGCATGGTAAAATATAATACCAATCCTCTCAGTTAAAATTCAGAAAAAATTAATAACAGAAAGAAAGAAGAGAAAGGGAGAAATCTGAGAGAATCTGACCAGCTGACTTCTGAAATGTTTTATTTGTTGCTTTGTAAGCATGCCATTTTCAATTCTGAAATGTAAACGAAAAAATATAACCTCGTCTTCTTGTCCTTGACTTTGATCTACTGTTGTTAGCTCTCGATGAGAGGAAAACTGGACATAAACATTCCTCCCCCTAACATAAAATATAAAGATAATTAGATTATTCAGGAAACTTTAATATCAATCGGAATAGTAGAGCATTGCAATATCTGTATATAATGCCAAAGATCAAGATATCAAAACAATAGTCACGAAAATCATGTAAAGCAAGTTATGCTTCATTGAGTATTTGCATAAAATTGTAAAGAACTGATTGCAAAGGAACGTCTTGCATATGGATAAGTGCTTGCAAATACATCGCACCAATTGTATTATTGTACAAATAAAAACATGATGAAATGAAGCACCTTAAAATTCCAAGGAAAAACGAACTTTTAATTTAAGGTGTGAAGGAGAAAATCTGATTTTTTTTGCACACAATATCACAAGCTTTGTTATGACTCCAAAAGGTTGAAATAGCTTAAGTAAATCATTCTGCAACCAAAAGGAAAAAGTTATAAATCTTTCAAGAACTTCTGAAACAAAGAGCTCAAATAACATTTCAGTAATAACATAAGAAAAGCCTATAATTATAACTTCAACTTAGTTCATTCTTTGCTAACCCCAAAGACGGCATATTAAAATCTAAACTAATGAGTTCAAATATTAATTCCAACTCCATTCATATCCAATCATGTGGATCGAAAGCTGCAATGGAGTAAATGGTCGATAAAATACCTTTCCATATTAGTTTCCCTTTGGTGCTGATGCACCATTACACATCAACAACCTAATTACATCAGCATGGTCACCTCTTATAGCATGATAAAGAGGCTACAAAAATGGTCACAAGATATTGCAAATAAACCATGAGAAATTAAGTACTATAAAAATCATGAAAAAATCTTGCATAATCATAGAACTTAAAAGCAAATGACTATACTTATAAAGCATTATATCAAAATCTGCGCATAATGGTTAACAACTGAGACAATTAATTGGATTTTTATTTTTTATCTTCACCGACATTGACAACCTATATTTCATATCCGCGTAGTTCTTCCTTTATTGACTTCTATAAAATTTCTTTGCACGACACTCAAATATTACAACAATTCCTGCAACATAAATAAGGAGATTGAACTTATAATATATAATAAATCATATTAGTTATTAGAAAGACCATAGACGACATGACAAATCATAATAGCTTGTATGGTACAGATAAAAAATAGTATGTTAATCCTACAGAAGGAACATTCTCAACTTCTTCAATTATTTTTTCGATTAATAATCTTACATGTATGATGCCAAATGGAAGAAAAAAATTTAAATTTGACATCGATTAGAAATTTAGACCCATAAAGATTAGGAGGGGAACACATATCTCCAAATCATATAAAAACGCAAAGATCTGCCGCCACCGAAAATCACAACATGCATAAATCGCGACCTTAACTCATAAACTCACCCACAAAAACATAAAGAAACAACAATAATAATAGCTATTCAAATAGACCGAATTGATGACAAAACTTTCCGGATCCGCGAACTCTTCCTTGCTAGTAACTGTACAATAATAATAACAACAACAAACTCAATGAAATTCATGCCAGTTACAAAAATCAAGTGCAATAATATTAGATGGTGGAGGATAGCCTTCTCATTGGGTGAACGTGAAGGAGAGAAAAACGAGATTATTATTAGATTGTCGTAATTGAATTGAAACCCTTAAGGAGGAGAAATTAAGTGCAATAATATTAGGGGAGATGAAAATCGATCGTGGAGTAGTGAGAGGAGTGATTTATGAAGATGGAGGTGGAACGGTTTTCCTTCAAAAGTGCGTTGAATGAATCAATTTTAAGAATATGAGGTGTGGAAATGTTAATTGATAGGAGAAAAATTGAAAAAAAATGATTTTAAAACAACAAAGAACTAGTGATTATATAAAGCAAAGTGTTGTGTTTTAGAACTAAAGGATAAAATATGATTTTTGGATAGAATGACTTATTTTTTATATTATAGATTTACGTTACAAAGTGAAACTTAGGTTATAATAATATTATGAGTTTTTACTTGATTAATGTGTAAGTAAGTTTATTATTATTATTATTATTATTATTATTATTATTATTATTATTATTAGTATTAGTTAGTGTAATGTATTATGAAAGAGTTCCTTCGTTCTCAGGCAACAAATAATACCCATCACTACCCCACCAAAACTATCCAACCTTTATCTTTGAATTAAAATCAAATCTTCAAAACTTTCTTTTCAAACTCAAACATCTTCCTCTCGCCGGAAAATCCCAATCGCTTCGTCCTTCCTAACCGTTTCTTCCGAACTCCGACTTCATTTCGCAAGTTGCTGAAGTTCGGTTGATTGGACTTAGCTTGACTAAACGAACCGCTTACTCGTTAATCTCATGGAGAAGAACGAAGTATGCACATCGGAGTCCATCGATGGAAGCCGCGATGTTTGGAGTTCCAAATCCTCCGATTCTTCCTCCGCAGATCATCTCGTTGTCATGGTCAATGGAATTCTCGGAAGGTATTTTCGACATTTATCGCACTTCTTATGCTCAATTTTGATGAAGTATTGCATTGTTAGGTTTTGATTTTGATTTGTTTTGATGTTGATGACTTTGTTATTGTTAATCAATTGTAATTTTGAGATTTTGTGGAATTTAGTGTGATAAGTTTCATGGATTCTCTTTTTGTTGCTTAAAATTGATCATTCGTGTTGTAATTGTTTGTTTATGCAGTTCTACTGATTGGAAGTTTGCTTCTGAGCAATTTGTTAAAGAGCTTCCTGATAAAGTTTTTGTTCACTGTAAGGATCATGCTTCTCTGATTTCTTTGATTGGAAGCTTTGCTGATTGTATTCTTATCATGTAGTCAAATCTGGAGTTTTGTTGTTGTTAGAAATGATTTGATTATGTTATTTCTCTTTTCCTTTGAAGCAACTGAAATTTGGTAATAGTAGTATTTATTTCCGTCTTTGATCTCATTCAGAATTTCTTACTTATAAGTTGTTACCTTGGAACTGGACCTTTTGGATAGTGTCTTAGCAACTTTCAATAGCATAAGCCTTGACATGGTGAATATTCAATGAATCACTAATGTAATTAATAATTAGTGCAATTGTAGTTTAAGGTGCTGAGAAATTTGAAATCTAGTCATTGATATTTAATGGAATAATTTTTGTTTGATTGTTAAAATTTGTCGATGTTCGGAATTCGGTGGCCTATGCAATAGCAGCTTCTATTTATTTGTTAGTACGACTAGAAACAACATTGTTTTATTTTTATTTTTATTAAAGAGACAACCTAGTTGACAAGCTTTGGACTTCCTTCTTGGTTAAGGAGGCTTGCTATCTTTTTCTTTAGTTTTTGCAATATCTTGATGAGTTTACATTGACCACTGCAGGGTTTAAATTCTGCATGTAATTTTACATTTTCCCCTTCTTATTTCACTCAGGTAGTGAACGTAATGTGTCTAAGCTGACACTAGATGGTGTGGATGTTATGGGCGAGCGATTGGCAGAGGAGGTTTGTTTGATGAATCTCATATTATGTAAAAATCAATTTACTGTATCTTGACTAGGCTCATTATCCCTATAAGATTATATTTCCCTATATTAGTCACATATATTCTTGAAATATTTTTTTTATATATTTTCTCTGCCACTGGTAAAGCATAACCTGTTGAAAGTTTTCTTTGTAGAGCCTTGATAAAATGTTAATAAGTGATGTATAAGAAAACAGAGTCCTTTGTGTTGGTCCACAACTTCTTTAATTTTGTGTGTGTATACTCTTTTTTACTATACTTTAGCTAATTAGAAAATAGACTCTGTTCATCATTTTAAATATGGAAGTTATTAAGTTACTTTCTAATGTATGTTGGAGATGCATCTAAATCAGTATTCTAACCACAAAAATGTAATATTTAATATCTTTATATGGATGTATATTATTTCATAACATACATTATCTCATTACTATTAAGTATTAACAGGAAATTAAACTCTTAGGTCATTGAGGTGATTCGAAGAAAGAAAAATATGCGTAAAATCTCCTTTATTGCACACTCAGTTGGAGGATTAGTGGCACGTTATGCTATTGGGAGGCTGTATAGGCCACCTGAAAATGAACCTATTCAGGATTTGAGCAATAAAGGAAGTAAGGTGGACTCAGTAGGTACAATATGCGGCTTGGAGGCTGTGAATTTCATTACTGTTGCTACACCTCATCTAGGGTCAAGGGGAAATAAGCAGGTATAAAAAATGTATCTTAAAATTTACGTTTTGTTTCCTTAATTTAGTTGTTGGAAATTCTACTTTCAATGCTGTCTGTCCTCCCCTAGCTGCCTAATTGTGGTATTTGGGTTGTCTTTATTGCAACCTCAACACCTTCATCATGTTGGGTTTGAGGGAGTGACTTTAGTCCCATATTACTTACTGATATAGTTTGTGTAGTGTTTATAAAGCACAGGCAACTCACACCTTACCAAACGGTTTTGTAAGTATGAGTTAGACCCAATATAAAATTTAAGATGGTTCCAGTCTTCCAGAGCCTATCATAGATCTGTTGTTGGGTTTCTCGTCACCTAATAGCAGCGTTTGGGTCGCCTTCATTGCAGTCTCCTAGACGTTCGTTGTGTTGAGGGGATGAATTTAGTCCCACATCGCTTAGAGATATGGTCAGTGTTCATTATAAAGTTTGGGCAACCTTCACCTTACATGCCGGTTTTGTAATGTTAGGTAAACCCAACTCAATTATAATACTAGTGATAGGGATTAAAGAGGCTGTTGACAATGTAAGATATCTAGAATAGCTTAGGATTAATTTGAGAGTTTGAGGGTAGGGCTTTAGGGGAGAGAGAAAGAGAGGGGAGGGGGGAAAAAGAGGAATCTTCCAACTTATTTGAGAGATTTATTTTGTAAAGAATGACAAGAGAATACTTATTAATATATTTTTAATTTTGAGAGTATTATAACAACAACAACCAAGCCTTATCCCACTAAGTGGGGTCGGCACATGGATCAATTTTTGGCATAATGTTTTATTTGGGATTTTGTATAGAACACAAGGTTTGTAAAGTAAGGTTGTGAGTATGTTACTATTTAGTTAACATTTTTACTATAAATTAAAGATTTTGGAATTGTTTTTGTCCTTTATATTTCAGGCTACACATTGGGATTTGATATGTTGCATTATCTTTTAGTGGGTTTAGGGGCTATTTTTATTGAAGAGTTAGAATTAATAAAAAATAGTGAGGAAGGGGAAGGAAGTGCACGGTTTGTTCATCACATGTAATCTAGAGGTTAGGTAATCTATTTTTGTCTCAGGAATTCTTGCTTTAGAATTTTTGAGGACAAGCCTTATTGCATTGGCTAGGTTGTTGTTTTATGAAGTGGTGTCCAATGTTCAGAATATCAAATAATAGAAATGACCTCTATGCTCATGGGGTAAGGCTGTGTACATTCGATTTTTATATAGGAACATGTTTTACAGGTACCCTAATGCTATTTGGCTTCCCTTTTTTAATAGCTGGCTTACATCTTTTACAGGTAGGAACATGTGTAAGGAGTTGTTTAGTTGTGCTCTTATAACTTATATATATATATTCCCGGTGTTGGAATCTTTCCTGCCATATTCTTTGGAAAAGTGTTGGAGATAAAAAAAACAATTTCGTGTTTTTGTATTCATGGTCATTTATTATTAGCTATTCATTACAACTTAAGCCTTAAGTCACAATTTATTTGGGTTATTATTTCCTTATAAATGGTGTAATTTGCTTCGAAAGACTTGTCGGTTTGAAAATTTTCAAAGAAACCCTAGCAGCTCAGACATCTGAGTCATACTTTAATTAGTTTTCTAATACCCAAGAGCACTTGGATGAGATGCTAAAGGTCTTTTCCAGCTTAATCAGATGTCTGGGATTTGAATTCATCCTTGAGAATGTAGGTGTATTGTGGCCATACCTAGCTCGAGGGATTAGTCTATGCACTTGCATGCAGAGGATATTTGGTTTATACTAAAAAAATTAGTTGCCTAATGACTATTAGCTGGAAAGTCGAATTCTCTTCCTTTCTTCCAATTTTCCAGCTTAATTAGATGTCTTAGATTTGAATTCAGCCTTGAGAATGTAGGTGTATTGTGGGCATACCTAGCTCGAGGGATTAGTCTATGCACTTGCATGCAGAGGATATTTGGTTTATGCTAAAAAATTAGTTGCCTAATGACTATTAGCTGGAAAGTCGAAATCTCTTCCTTTCTTCCAATTTAATTTAATTCGCTGTGTATCTGTTATAGAGGATGATGCCTTACACTTACTATTCTAATCATCCCATACCCAAATTCTAGCAAACCAGAAGCAAGTATTAGTAGATACACTTAACCAAGGTTTTAAATCGCAGTTGTAATTGGTATTATGTTGCAGTCTTTGATTTTGTAGAAGATTGCTGATAAATGTTGCTAATGTGGTTGCAATTGTCGTCAAACAAGCCTCAAAAACATATGCAGACATTTATTTTAAAATATTGCTCTTAACATCTCAGGAGAAGAGCCCAAAGTCAATTAAGAAGGGTTGTTTCATTACACTCTTATCTTTTATTTTTCGGCTCCATGTAAATTAATTTTAAAGGTTCCAAAAATAACTAAATGCTTTTGGGGAGTAATTAGAATTTTCCCGGCAATTGATTAATTTTGTTCTCGGTCATGTAATGTTTATCTTTTATAGTGATTGACAGCAACTTATGGATTTGTTTTGATAGATTGGCAATTTTTGGTTTTCTTATTGCATGTTGCGATGAATATATTTGTTTTGCATAAAAAACAATACATGTTGATATTATATTCAACAAACAACACATTCATCTGTGGTGTCTTATCATCAAATGAACATGAAATTTTGCATCTGTTTTGATATTTTCATAAAAGAAAGTTGCATCAGTTTTGATATTTTCACAAAAGAAAGCTGCATCTGTTTTGCTATTTGGGTATATAAATTTGTTGACTGGGTTCTGAATTTCAGGTTCCTTTTCTTTTTGGGGTAACTGCATTTGAGAAACTTGCAAGTGGTATTATTCATTGGATTTTTAGAAGAACAGGTCGACATCTGTTCCTTACTGATGACGATGAAGGAAAACCTCCATTGCTTAAACGCTTGGTTCAAGACTATGATGAATGTTATTTCATGTATGTTGTTTATCCCATGTTAAGTTCTATTTGTTATAGGGATTTATTTCCTTAAAAGGATTTTCATGTCTTTGAAATGATTTTATCATGCTTTGTGCAGGTCTGCATTGCGCACTTTCAAGCGTCGGGTTATATATTCAAATGTGGGCTATGACCGTATCCTTCATACTTACATCTTTCTCATTATTATAGGTGCATTCAGCTCTCATTGCATTTGTTTTTATATGGTTTTCCTTTATAAAAACTTTAGATATTGTTGGTTGGGGAACATCATCCATTAGACGTGATAATGAACTTCCAAAGGTATATTTACTGATATTTCTCAATACTATATGATTTATTGGGTCACTCCTTATCATTGATTAATGTAAAACTATTTGGTTGGTAGTGGGAGGATACCCTCAATGAAAAATATCCACATGTTGTACATGAAGAGCATTGCAAGGCTTGTGATACTGAGCAGTGTGACTTTACGGAAGATATCGGCTCTGACAAGATAGAAGGTATCTCTATATTTTTCTCGAAACAAATGTAAACTGATGTTCACTTTATCTGCTGTTACCGTGGTGTACATTTTACTCAAAAGTGGCTATATATTAGGAGATACCATCAAAATAGTTTATACTCAAAATGGCTGTACCCATCTACTAAATCTGTTTTTTTAAGGAACCCAACTGTGTCTATTGATCCATTCATAGGAGGCCTTGCTTAATAGGGGATAAGATTTGATTGTTATTATTGTGTTGATCTTGCCTTCTGAAACTAAATGTTGCTTGATGTCGGACCAATGAAGCATGGGTTCTCTAAAATCTATGTCGTATCGTACCCAATACGTATCGACGGAGTATCCGATTTTTTTTAATTTAAAAAGTAAAAAATAAAAAATTCCGATATGTCCCGATACGGCGGCGATACATCGCGATATGCTTGCGAAACATCTCCTATACACTTTGGATACAGCTAGTTAATCTCGTGACTATTCATATTTCTAAAACATGAATCAATCTTCCTCATCCTTAATTCTTTTCAACTTTAATTACCTTATCACTTCCATTTTTTCTATTACAAGAATCAAACTTTTCCTTTAATTACTTTTCGCTCAACTTTAACTATCTTTTCTTTCTCTCATAATTCATTTACCAATTATCATTGAATTTTGCAAACACAATTGGTTTGTGTCCGTGCTTCATTGTGTCGGACTAAAGAGTCATGTGTGGCCTATTTCTTTATTGTCTTCAAAATGTAAGATTTCTAACCCGAATAAGCACTTGCAGAGGAGCTGGTAACAGGCTTGTCTTGTGTGTCATGGGAAAAAGTAGATGTTAGCTTCCAGAGATTTGCTGCTCATAGTGTAATTCAGGTTTGTGTCTTGCTCTGCCGTTGCTATTGTGTTAAATATTGTGTCAGTGATATTATTTATTTGAATACATCGCCTTACTTGCCAATGTTCTTCCTCCATCTTTTCTTGCTATTTATAGGTTAAAGATCGAATCTCACATATAGAAGGTGCTGATGTTATACATCATATGATTGATCATTTTTTGACATAAAAGATGTCACTCTCCAGAGTTGTATACATATCACTTAGCAATATAAGCTTTGCATAGGTAAATCTAAAATGGCTAAGCCATCCATCTATTATTAAACCTGATTGACAATGTTCAACTTTGTTTAAAATCGTGATTTTGTTGCAGGATGGGAACAACTGGTTTCCTGAGTAACAAAGTTCCCCTCATTAGTTGAGGTGAAGAATTGTAATTTTGCTTGTCGATGATCCTCGACAATGTATTATGTATGTCTACGATATGTAGATAAGGAGTTTTTCTCGCCTTCCATGAAAGCATTTGAATCAGCACATTCTATTATTGATGTTGTAATCTATTTTGGCAATAATATGGCTCAGAGATTATCAAGGAATTGTATCACTTCCTCAAAGAATTTCAAATCTGATAGATATACAGTACCTTGTCTCTCTCCAAAGCTTCTTTATTAACCGTTCGATCTTGATCACGCTGTACAGAAAAAATAGATTTAATTTTTGTAAAACTACTTATTTTAAATCAGAACCGCGAACGGTCAGATTCGATTGAATGCGTAAATGCGGAATGAGGTGACTGCTGAGAATCAAAGTCAGTTGGATTGGAGCATTCATTGTACTGAAGATGGAGAGATATGATGTCCTTACATTTCGGATGGAGACTAATCACTACTGATACATTATTAGAGTTATGACCACCATAATGTCCACAACCACCTTACAATCTGATTAAACATTGAGATATTTTTTCCACCCCGTGTTTTTTAAAAGTCAAATAAAAAAAACCCCTTTGTCAGCATTTATCCATTCGGCTGAGAGAAAAATTATATTTGTTCTTTGGAATTTGATAAATCTGAAATGGCGAGGTTTCTGGTTTTTTAAGAAGCCAATTTCTCATCCCACACTTGTAATATGGGATGCATTCTTAAAAATTCGAAAATGCTCTCGAGTGAATGCAGAAATCAATATCTGAATCTATTCTTCATAAAATAAGCATTAAAGTGGTTCGGATATGCATCTTTGAATTCATTCAAGATAAATTTAGAAATGCATATTCAAAAACACTCTTTAACTAATTTACTATGTATTTTCATTGATTTTGGCGCAGACTGTCTGTCGATTTGACCCAATATTAGAGTTAGAAATTGTATTCTCGTGTTCTAGTCCTTGCGTTCCCGCGTTTCTGGCCTTTATGCGAGTTAACTTAAAATATCCGATTTTTTGGAAAATTGATTCTGAATCAAAGTTTTACCGTGCTAATTCATCCGAAAAAATCAGGGATCAAATTCCTTTATTTTGGAATAAAATATTGGACACTACCCTAAAAACCCTAAGTTCTTTGTTTTTCTATTTTGTTTGATTTATTTTCCGTTTTCTTATTTTCTAAAAGATTCGATAAAATTTGAAGACACTCAATTTGATTTTATTTGATTTTTAATTGTATTTTCAAATTTTTATAATTTTATTTTAATTGTTTTTGTATTTTCGATTGTTTTTCTCAATAGGAAAATTATTTGTATTTATATATTTGTTGCATGGCTATTAGGTGTGTCTATCCGGGTACATCCAATACTGAGTTAAAAAAACACAACAGGAAAATGTTCGGACATGCATATCCGAAAATACTTTTTTTAAATAAAAAATAAGGTTTATTCGGAGATGCATATTCGAAAATACTTTTTTCACAAAAAATAAGGTTTATTCGGATGCATATTCGAAATTACCTTTTTTTCTTAAAAAAATAGGGTTTATTTGGATATGCATCTCAGAAGTTAAGTATTATGTACAAAAAAAGTGCATTCGGAGATGCATCTTCAAAAATAGAGAGATTTTGGAATTTTGCGCAGAGCTTGGGAGAAGTAGTAAGGGTGCAATGAGAAAATGCCTTTAAGAAGGGACGAAAGGTAGTTCTCTTAAAAATTGGGATGATAAGATACATTTGTTAGGGGTTTCTCTTTCCACCCTTATGTGTTATCCCACACCACTATGAAAAGTCTAGACTATTTCTAGAGTTTGGAGATGCCTCTCCGGACGCACTTATTTTAGTCATTTTTTAGACCAAATTAAAGAGGTATTTCTATTGTGTAAAAAATTAATTTGGAGATGCATCTCTGGATTTGCTCTGCATAATTTTTGGAGATACATTTCTGGATTTGATTCAGGCAAACATTTTGTTGATTTTGTGGAATTTGCAAATTTGTCCTAATATGCTGTTTATATTTTCTTCGTTTCTAACGCAAGTACAATTGTTCAAAATAACACTATCTGAATTAGGCTCGAGCATGTGTCTCAAACCGTGTTAGTACGACGTAAGAAAGCCGTCGCGAGGACTACGAGGCCATGAATTGCTGATAACTCGTTTGATGGTGCATCTACTTCACAGCCCCGAGATTTCCATGCGTCTAGTTCTCATAGGCGACTCTCTCATGCATATGATGCAACATATCTTATTGTTCATAAAGCCCCTGAAGTGCAGGAGGAAGCCATTGTCGATGCTCATTTAGAGAGTTATATAGAAGGCCTATTTGACACCTCCTTACTTTATTTATATGTCAACCATGTTGCTAGGCGTGTATGAGAAGTAGATGCATATTTATTTTCTTTTGAAATTCATATTTTTTCTAATATTTACATTAATACTGATTGTGATATCTTTTTTATAGGAGCGTTTGTGTTTGAAATTGGTGAACCACGACCGAAAGATATTAGAGTTGGAACAACCTACTGCTGCTTGGTTCATTGAAGTTATTTGTATCCATGTCTTTCCAATTTATGTTTTGTTGCGGGTGGCCATAAACCACGACATGCAGGTAGATTTTGCTGAGAGGTGGCACTCAGAGACGTCATCTTTTCACCTTCATATAGGCGAGATGTCCATCACCTTGGATGGCGTATCAAGCCTCATACATCTTCCCATCAAGGGGAAATTATTGGACCAAGGAAGAATTGGGCGAGAGGAAGTTGTCGATATGATGGTCACTCATTCGGGGGATGACCCCTGGTTACATTTTCAAGGATGAATTATCTCTTACTTCGCTCGGATCACCAAATGGGAACCAACTTATAACTACACCGATGATTGGCCACATGCTTCCACATTTGTTCCATACAGGGGGAGTAATGCGATTGAGCCATTTAGAATGTATCTTCAGCGTCATACTAGATGCCGTTTTCTTTTGCCCATACAAGGGTCACTATAACACCCTTCTAAACCACCAAATATTATTCTCAAAATAATTCACAGCGTTCTATCAAATCCCTCTGAGTTCTTTCGTGCCCTAACTCTCTTCACATCGTCCTTCTCTTTTCACGATTGCACATAATGAACACTGACACTCTTTTCCCCTAGTTTAACCATAGGACCCTTTCTATGATTTTCCCATCTTACCCTCACTTATCCATTCACAATTTACCACTTTGACCTCATAGCTTCTACCTCTTATTAATATTCTATTTAACTAATTAAAATAATTCTAATTAATTATTCTAATTATCTAAATTATTCTAAAATACTCTATACCTTCTCAATTCCTACCACCCCATCATACACCACACAAAACATCATATCAAGCATCATGATCATCCATACATCACATAAATATCGCAATTAAGTCACAAATACTCAACATAAATTAATCAAATAGTTAAATAAATAATCTAATTATTTTGGAGTGTTACAGTCACCGCGAGACGCGTCAGTTTGACGTCATTTCCTTATACTTCAGATGTCTGACATGTGGGTAATCTCTTATGCATCCTTATCTGTATGAGCGAGTGATGCACCAATTTTTCTACTTATAGATATTTTGAGACTTCCCTATGAGTCCGCTCCTCCCGGCGTCCACCGCAGAGATCTTAGTGCGATACTGGATGATTTCGAGAGTCACTTGGTACCAGAGGAGTATCATCGAGTGCTAACTCTTTTTTAGTGGGTTTATGTTGAGGATTACATGACATGGTTCTATAGGGTGTCACACCCTATCATGACAAGTGCCGCTCCTGGAAGACCATCTAGACCAACTAACTAGGAGGTACTTGAGAATCAGGATGATCACATTGAGGATGTGACGTCGGTCCATCAGCATGTTTTGGAGGGGTAGAGTTGACATAGAGGCATGGCTCTTTAAGGATGACAATATCCAGTTGGTTATCATGGAGAATATGATTGTCAAGGTATGAAATATCGTGCAGTACATGTGGTGGGTTAGCCATATCCAGTAGGTTATGTTTAGATGTATTTTTTTTGGATTTTCAGACAAATGTTATGTATGCTCTTGACTTTTAATTAATGTATGACTATTTAACTTTCATTTCAGTTTAATATTATTTAAGTTTACTTTAAAATAACTTTGCTTCAAAAAATTACAATAACTTTGCTTCAAAAAATTACAATGTTGGGGCAAAGGTTCTGCCTTAAAATCATTCATGGGAGTTTTGGAGATGCATCTTCAAACGTACCTAAATAACGTACAGAGATGCATCTTCGGATTATATTTTGTTCTAAATATGGTGAATCTCATAATAGCGCTTCATGTTGTGATTTTGGATGCGTTTGAAGATGCATCTTCAAACGCTTGAAGGGAAATTTTGAATTTTTAAGGGTATGAAGTGCACACTTAAGGGACGAAAGAGCATCCCCCACTTATAATTAGGCTAAGTCAAAAACTAAAAAATAAGCCTACTGATTTTGGAGGATTTAACATGCTACCCCCCAAATTAAACATGACACTCCCCCAACTTTAATTATTCCAGAATTACCATGTTGAGTTACAAACAATTTCCTAACGAAATTTTTGGTAGAGGGTTCAAAATTTGTGATACAGACAAAATTTCCAGTACACCTCTACAAAATTTCTGGCAGTCTTTGAAATTTCTGGTATTCCGGAAATTTCAAATTTACTAGGCAATACCAGAAATTTGAGTTATACTGAAATTTTTGGTAGTTCATTTATTCAAGTTTTTTTAATGATCGAGATTTTACTGACATCTTTGGAGGGTCCTGATTGCACCGACAAATTTGTATGGTCTAGAATGCATCGCCATTTGTATAAATAAGGGCATATGCTACAAAGAGAAGCATCTCAAACAATGCATCTTTCTTAATTCCTGATTAAGGTAGAAATATATTACAATGGAAACAACCCCGTTGTTGAATTCAAGCTTCCAGACGGCAGGACATCCCTTGCCACCTTGGAAGAAACATTGAATGCATTGCTGCATGATTCTGATAACAGAAGGGTAACAAAGATCGAGTTTCGGGAAATCTGGATTGATACAAATGGAAGGGTGAAATACAACCTGATTGAGTTGAAGACCATTGAAAATGTGAAGGCCATGAGGAAATCATTTCGCCGTAGGATAACTAAAGGTCCGATCAAATTGGATGCGCAGATCCGAAGATCCGTCGGTGATATAATCAAGACACTGAAACGTCCAGAATCATCTGATAATGCTTA